AATCAATGTTACTTAGTACTCATGTGGTCATGTGGCTTGTTTCTTCATATTTTTTAAACAAACTTTTTTATTGTGGAATAATTATAGATTTATAGGAAATCTGTTGATAATTCAGAGTTTTGTATCCCTAGTGCCCCATTTCCCCTATGTTAACATCTTATATAACATTGATTCATCTGTCACATCTAAGAAATTAACTGTGGTACTTTATTAACCAAACTCCAGGCTTAATTAAGATTTTACCAATTTTTTCACTAATGTTCTTTTCCTATTCCAGAATCCAATCCAAGATACCACATTACATTTAGCATTTCTTCACTTTTAAAATGGAAACATTTTAGTTTGATTTATGAGCTATTAAAAAGTCAAGCTCAAAACAATTCTAAGTATGTAAGAAAATACAACATGATGGCATGTTTTTTTATAACAACACAATTCAATATCTCTGCACACTTGGATCAACAGTCTTTGATTTGTGACTGAGTCATCATATGTCCAATGGCAATAAAAAAAATGGAATTAAAGGGACCAGCAGTTAGCGTAATGGCTATGTTGCTGGACTCCCATGTACTCGACCGAGGTTCCAGTCCCAGACCCGGTGGCTTAAAACTCTCACCGGGCACGTGTGCATGTGTGCCCAAGATCCCAAGAGGAGAATGAAAGAGAAGGGATTGTGGCATGGCCATCCCCCCTGGGGGGTGATTTCTCGCTTTCTGTCTGTCTCTCTCTGTCTGTCTGGCAAGTGCACACGCCCTATAGCAAAAGCCTCTCAAAATAAATAAATAAATAAATAAATAAATAATTTTTAAAAAGGTAAAAAAAATGGAATTAAAGTATGAGTTAAAAATATTTACTCTCTGGCCCTTTGCATAAAAAGTATGCTGGACCTTGATCTAAAAGAAAGGATTTTAGGAGTGCTGATGTCATGTTTGCATCCCAAGAGCAACTAGAAATCCTTTGGCCTAGCCACATGGGACAAAATGTACACTGGCTCATGCTGACTGGGTCAGTTTCCAGGCCAGCATCATATTGCCTCCATCAAATTCACCAAATATTTCGTTGTGCTTGTCTGAGTGCTATTTACTGGGCAGAAGGCCCCTGCCACTGTAGCTGTGACTCTGAAGTTGCACCCCATGGTATTTGCATCAGGGTGTAACTCATTTCCTGCCTTTAATTGCCTTGTACCCAGTGTGGTGTTAAATGACAGGCAGTATTCCAAATCCATATTGAACTGTCAAAGAAGTAATGGCTACAACATAATGTCTAGGCATTACTCTGCACGATTTTATAATAATTAAATATTCACAATGTAAATGTGAGTGATGAAATAGGGTCTTATTTACAGAAAGACAGAGAGAGACAGGAAGACAGAAAGTGAGAAATCACCCCCCAGAGAGGATGGCCACGCTGCAGTCCCTTCTCCTCCATTCTCCTCTTGGGATCTTGGGCACGCACGCACACGCGCCCAGCATGAGTTTAAGCCACCGAGTCCGGGACTCGAACTGCGGTCGACTACATGGGAGTCCAGCGACATAGCCATTACGCTAACTGCTGGTCCCAAGAAAACCCATGTTTTACTATCACATTTTCCCTTGACTTTATGGGTTGAGATTTTCACACTTTTATAGTTATTCTAAGCTTATATGAGTTGTGTTTTAATTTGTTTTAGCTTTCCATTTTTTTATTAAATTATAAATTTATAGAAGAGTTACATATAAGAGCTTCTAGAATATTCTCTATGTGAAGACCTGAAATCTTCATTTGAGCTTCTAGAATATGCTATATGTGAAGACCTGAAATCTTTGGTTTGTGGTCTGAAGTCAATTGAGCATGAATGCATTTTAAGCTCAATTGAACAAGGCTGTGATAAAAAATGAAGTCCTCATTCTCCCCTCCTATTTAGGATGCTATCAGCCAGTATGTCTCTGTGCTGCTATGCACAACTCAAATCTATGATGATAGCTTATACCATGTGTTCCTGTCAATCCTTGTCCACACTATTATTTAATAGTTAGCATAGCACTTCTGAATCCTGATCTTTGACCTGACAAACTAGAAGCTCATGAAGGGAGGGGCATGTTCTTATTGATTCCTACTGTGCCTAGCATGAAACTTTACAGAATTGCTAGCCCTGATTAAATTTTGAATATGATGAAAACTGTGCAAGCAAATGTCTTCAAAAGTTATTTATTAAGTTTAAATTATTGTTAAAATGTAAGAGCCCTCTTTGTGATAGGAGGTATGATTCAGGGAAGGCAGGTGTTTTCCTATCTTTTTAATCTGATCATGAAACTGTGCTGTTGGTTAGGCTAAAATAAGCAGTCTTTTACCTCTTCCTTTATTTTTTAACTTGTTTCCAGGCCAACCATTTAAACTGGATCCCAAATCTGCTCATCGAAAACTAAAGGTGTCTCATGATAACTTGACAGTAGAGCGTGATGAATCATCGTCCAAAAAGAGTCACACACCTGAACGCTTCACTAGCCAAGGGAGCTATGGAGTAGCTGGAAATGTATTCATTGACAGTGGCCGGCACTACTGGGAAGTAGTCATAAGTGGAAGCACATGGTAGGCAATTTACATGTATTGTCCTTCAGTTCAAAAAGGCACATCTCATTCTATACTTTGTTAGAGTATCACCCCATATCAGGATCCATCTTTAAAAATAAAACACCAACTAGTTGTATCAGTCAGCTATTGCTACAGTAATGCTGCATAACAAATGTCCCAAAACTCAGCGGCTTCAAATAGTAGCTAGTTATTGCTGACTAACACCCACATTTAGCTTATTGAGGCTAATCTTCACTGGATTTTGGTTTAAGCTATAGGCTGGATCTAGGTTTGTTTTGTGTCTCTTCATCTTTCTTGGATATGTGGGCCACTAAGGGTCTCAAGGCTAATCCAACTATTGAAGCACCCTTCAAGCCTCTGTTTGCATTATGTCTACTGACTCCCATTGGTCAAAGCAATATGGCTAATACCAAAGCCAATGGTATATGAAAATATATTCCTTCCATGGAGGTGGGAGAATGGAGTACAAATTTGCCCAGAAATCATCCAACTTAACATCTAGCGAATAAGAAAAATAAGGGTGTTTTTTTTAAATACATCTATTTTTTAAATTTATGGTAACAATCAGAGGTGATAATCAGAGGTGATATTATAGAGATCTCATACTGTAGTTTAGCTGTAGTATGCTAAGACTGCCTTAAAGCATGGGTCAGCAGACTGTGGTCTGGAGACAGCCTGACCAGATGCCTGTTTTTGTAAGTGAAGTATTATGAGGACACTGGCTACATCCATTCTTTTGCATACTGTCTGTGGCTGCCTTTGAACAGCTGTAGAGTTGAGTAGTTAAGAATGAATCCAATGGTCCATGAAGCTGAAAATATTTTCTATCACTTTAGGCAAAATGTTTGCTGATTCCTATTTCTGCTGCCTTGTATGTTTTGTGATTCTAGACTGAATCAATTAGTGTAAATAGCTCAGGGCTAAGAGGTTAGGGAAAGCAGTGATCATAGGCTGAGAATAATTTCAAAAGTTCTCTTAGATTCTACCCACTGACCATAGCCTGCTGAGTTCTAAGACTAAGGCAACAGTCACAGTACAATCTACAGTGGGATGAGTTAACCTCACCAAGTTAACCTTGCCTAATCCATAGCCACAAACTATACCTCTTCCTTTAGTCATCTGTCTCACAAATGCCTGCTTGCTATTGACCCAAAATGGAACTACTTGTTTTTATTTTGCAAGCCCTCATATGGCAAAACTATGTGCCAGGCACTAGTCTAAGCATTTTACAGATGTTAACTCATTTATCCTAACAGCCCTATTCATGTAGGTACTAATATAATCCCATTTTATAGGTAAGGCACCTAAGATCATGAGCTCACCAAGCTTACAGGTAGCAGAATCAGGAAGTCTGCAATTAGGGGTCCAAACTCTTAACCAGAAGTTCACAAATATAGTCTATAAAGGGCGAGAGAGTCAATATCTGGTATTACAGGCCAGATGATTTTTGTCACACCCATTCAACTCTACTCTGAGAGTGGGAAAGCAGCCACAGATAACATATACCCAAATGGGCAGAACTGTGTGCCAGTGAAACTTAATTTACAAAAACAGGCAGAGAACCAGAGTTAACCCTTGGGTTGTAGTTTACGGATCCCTGTTTTTAACCACCATGCTATGCTGCTGTTCACACAAAGAGGTGATAGATTTTTGAAATGTTATAATTATTCTTCAGGGCTTGCAGTTAGGTGCTTAATGAGTGATAGCTTAATTCTTGCTTTAGAAATAAAACCAACATTCAATACTGTGTAACCTAAAGACAATAAGTATTGCAGCAGAATTTCTTTTGATATAAGCTTGTTGAAACACTTCTTACTTATATATATATTTTTTATTTTTCATTTCAAATCTATCCAGATAAGTCAGTGTGTCTGAGTCTCTTATATGATAGGTACAAGTCAACCAATATCTCAGAAGTGAAATTGTAAATTTTGGTGCCTCATGTGTCCCAACAGTGGCACCTCCATTGGCTAAGCCAGCAGGTTTTCCTCTTGTTATTTTCATGATTCTCTTTGCCCAGAACATTTTCCTGTTCCAGCGTCTGACTAGGCTAGGCTCTGGGCTAAATCAGCACTTGCAATTTTCAGCTGCACTGGGGCAAGTTAAACACACAGAAGGAAATATAATGAATGCAGGTGCAAAAAGAGCAAGAGTTTCTAGTTAATTAATGTGCTGTATTAATCTGGGATGGAATACAGTGACTAAACAATTATAACCCTATTAATAATAATTTATGATAAATGATACCCAATCATTATGATCTCATTGCCATTGATGACTAGTGTGGGAAATTCCACCCGAGCACTTCAGTTATATAAACACAGATCAGCATTACCTTTAAAACACCCTCCAGATGTCAAAACTAACTCACAAGGGGGTAAAGAAAAAATTCGGGAATTAATTGCTACACTTCAGATCTTTACAAATCTGATTGTGTCAATTTCAGAAAATCCTCATGTCACAAGTAGTTTCATATTTTCTGGGAAATGTTAGCAAGGAAGGGGTGCCCCCATTCAATTAAATATCTATGACACCTTAACTTGCAACAGCTAATGACACATATATTTGCTTGTGAAATATAGTCCTGACTTGATATTAACATGTACATTGTAATGCATGCAGTGGGGCATGTTAACATTGCTCTGAGAGACATCATATCTCTACTTCTTGAATTCTCCATGTCTCACTGTGTAACTTTATGGAACATTACATTCTGCCGGTACCTTTCAAGCTCAATGGAAATATGTACATAGTTTTACAGATTAATGATAATATAATGGTATTTTCCTTTGCTTAATGGACTATACCCTTAGTTATTTTCTTACTTTCTAATGTTGTTAATGTGCACTTCGTGTTTTATGAAATGGTGTTAACTAAAAGAGTAATTATGGGTTCAAGAAAAGATTAATAGACCAGAAGCAGGGGAAGGGGGAGGTAGCACATGATTCTGGATGTTGCACCGAATTTCAACCTTTTCTATGTTTCTTCTTTGCTCAATGAAACCTGTCATACCTGCCACACACAGCTACTTCATATGGTTCAGTTAAGGTTCAAATGGAAAATAAAAATGGTATGTGGCAACAAGAAGGAAATAATACAGATGTGGTTATTTTGTGATGCAAATGCAGGTTTGAAATACCTGAAAAATGGAAATAGTGTCTGCCAAGGCTTAGAGAATTTCTTTGGGGGAATATTGAAAAGTGTAGAAAGAAACCCTTTCCAATGTATATAACTTAGGGTGCAGTTGGTAAAGAGAAGACACTTGAGGTTCCCCGTAGAGGAAGGAAGCCAGGAGCTCACAAGCACCCTGAAAGGGCTGAGGAGTGCCAAACACGGTGTTTACACTCTAATTCACAGAGTCAGAACTGTGGTTGCTGCAAAGCTGCTCACACCACAGTGACGAGCATACCCAGGAGCTCATCTGGAAGCTTCTGTAAACTTCAAGCTACTATCAGAAAGAAACATCCCACCTCTTAAAACTTCTGGATCTTGTGCAAGGGCATCATGATAGTAGAACCTGATTCAGACTACTACAAGAAAGGGAATCCTGGGAAAGACAACCTAGAATTCTTCCCCATACACAGGATAGGTTTGATGAGAGGGAAGAGAAGATACTACATGATGACAGACAGGCTGGCACACTGCCCTTAACAGATAATCTGTTTCAGTCTCTTTTTTAATTCAATGATGACAGAATGTATTAATTTTCTTTTTTAACACAACACTCTTGAAGCAGCTGCATTTTAAATCCAGATATGTAATTTCAAAAAAGAGAGAGAGAGAATGTAATTTTATCAAAGACAAAAAGTCTTTCTCCCTGCACTAAGTAAGGTACCAAATGTCAATATCCAATTAGACCAGTTTTTCTATAACATTAGAGTTGAACTGTGAATCATTCAGTCTTCATTAAAGAGTAGTGGATTTTGCTATCTTAATAACTGTGAAATACTACAAATATTACAGAAGCATGCCTCAGAAGAGTAAAAGGAGATTAAAACATTGCAGAAATAATTTTGGGGTTTTTTTTTGGGGGGGGGGCAGTGAGAGAGCATTTAGAATAACCAAGATATCTACCTGCTCAAAGACATTCAGAATATTTAAAAATGTAGTAGGGAATATTATCAGAAGGGTGCTTGGCATTATTGAATTTCTGCTGAGGGAAGGCATTATGCAGTAGTGTTTAAGTTTGGGGCCTTTTGAGACAAACTCTAATCCTGGTGCTTATTGATCACACATCATTAGGCAATAGGAAGTTACCGAATATCACATGCCAAACCCTGTGTCCAGGATTTAGTGTGTTCTTTCTTTTTCTCTGTAAAATAACCTTGGAAGACAAAGACTATCACTGTCCCTGTGTTATAGATGACAAAACTGAAGCTGAGTGATGACAAGGAACTTAACTCCGTAAACGGAAAACATTCTCCTACTTGCCTTTGGCAAGGTGCATTTGAAGCCATGGAAAATGATAGACATAGTGTCAATTGAAAAATTAAAAGAAAGTGAAAAGGAGGTCTCTCCAGTGTGGTAGACATGAGCGACATGTGGCTGTGCACATCATTTAAGTTAATTACAGTTAAATACATTTAAAGTTCAGTTCCTCAATCTCAGCAGCCTCAATTCAATGCCCCAAAGCCCCATGTGGCTCATGGCCACCATACTAAGCAGAGCAGATCATGTCAAGCATTGCAGAAAACTCTACTAGGTAGTGCCAGCCTAGAAAATTTGTTGTGCAGGTCTTCACAAGGATGAAAAAAAAAAAAAAAAAAAACCAGAAAAACACAAAGTTCAAAGTTCAATTAGAATAACCAAGATATCTACCTGCTCAAAGACATTCAGAATATTTAAAAATGTAGTAGGGAATATTATCAGAAGGGTGCTTGGCATTATTGAATTTCTGCTGAGGGAAGGCATTATGCAGTAGTGTTTAAGTTTGGGACCTTTTGAGTCAAACTCTAATCCTGGTGCTTATTGATCACACATCATTAGGCAATAGGAAGTTACCGAATATCACATGCCAAACCCTGTGTCCAGGATTTAGTGTGTTCTTTCTTTTTCTCTGTAAAATAACCTTGGAAGACAAAGACTATCACTGTCCCTGTGTTATAGATGACAAAACTGAAGCTGAGTGATGACAAGGAACTTAACTCCGTAAACGGAAAACATTCTCCTACTTGCCTTTGGCAAGGTGCATTTGAAGCCATGGAAAATGATAGACATAGTGTCAATTGAAAAATTAAAAGAAAGTGAAAAGGAGGTCTCTCCAGTGTGGTAGACATGAGCGACATGTGGCTGTGCACATCATTTAAGTTAATTACAGTTAAATACATTTAAAGTTCAGTTCCTCAATCTCAGCAGCCTCAATTCAATGCCCCAAAGCCCCATGTGGCTCATGGCCACCATACTAAGCAGAGCAGATCATGTCAAGCATTGCAGAAAACTCTACTAGGTAGTGCCAGCCTAGAAAATTTGTTGTGCAGGTCTTCACAAGGATGAAAAAAAAAAAAAAAAACCAGCAAAACACAAAGTTCAAAGTTCAAATTCTCTTGCAGTGTTAGAGCTAAAACCAGAAATACGGGTAAATTCAATGGCTCTTTCCATCCACTATACATTTGGGAGGGAAAACAATGAGAAACACAGGTGTTGGGGTTCTTGCCAAGCTTTCACTTAACAAGAATGAACAGGGACAGCAGATGATCACGTCTCCATGACCCCTGAGGATCACAGACTTACCATGCACGGATGATGTGTCTTATTGTTCTGCTGTTGCTGTCTTGGTTCTGCAGGTATGCCATTGGCCTTGCTTACAAATCAGCCCCGAAGCACGAGTGGATTGGGAAGAACTCTGCTTCCTGGGCACTCTGCCGCTGCAACAATAACTGGGTGGTGAGACACAATAGCAAGGAAATCCCCATCGAGCCAGCTCCCCACCTCCGGCGTGTCGGCATCCTGCTGGACTATGATAATGGCTCCATTGCGTTTTACGATGCTTTGAACTCCATCCACCTCTACACTTTCGATGTCGCCTTCGCGCAGCCTGTGTGCCCCACCTTCACCGTGTGGAACAAGTGCTTGACGATTATAACTGGTCTTCCCATCCCAGACCACTTGGACTGCACAGAACAGCTGCCATGAGCAACTGGCCACATGGAGCTGTTTTCTGGGAATAGAAAGGTTTGAAGCCTTCATTTAGGGGACTGAGAAAGTACAGGCTTCAAGAGTATGATTAAATCTCATCAAAAAATGTCCAGAAACCAGCAAAGATGGGCCTCAAAACAGGAGATTACTCTCCTTTTACTGTGTTTTGTATTAAGTACAGGCTTTAATGATTTCTTTAATTTTTTTGTATTTAGAGGAAAATCTATAGATTATTTATAAAAAGAAACATAATCAGGATTATAGCTCTTAGGAATTACTTGGTTTTGCACATAAAGAAGCCCATAAGTTTACCAGCTCTTTACAACCTTTATTTCATCACAGTTTATGGGCTTGCAAACAGAATATTTTGTAGTTTTGTATGTTGATTCACCTTCTCACATAATATATCATACCAATCTATGGGAGCTCCTGTCACCTTGACTGTGCATAGAATAGGTTTGAACCTAGTAGGGAAGTAAACCAGCTTTCTTCCTCAGGTTTAATTTGAAGTGTTTTAACTGTGATGTTCAAAGCTTGTGTTGGATCAGCTAGAATAGAGAGCAGAGAGAAAAAGAATTGACTTTGGACCTCACGCTATGCAGCAGCTAGATCTTTAATAACCCTCTAATGGTCGATTTGGCCATATTTTGCTCTGCTTCTCCCAGGGTTAAGGATTCTCAAAGAACATTAAGAATGAGATTGCAATAGAAAATAGTCACATCGAACCCTACTGGTTATTCAGAAATTTAGGCTGGTTTGTGATTGAAAAATTTAAAGAAAGTGATTGAAACACAAGTAGGATTCTGTTTTATAACATCTATTCCATCCTTCCTTTTAGTAGTTCCTTTAGGCCTCAGAAATTCCTTCACTGCATTTAATAGTGTTCCTATTTTTCCCTCTCCCAAATCAATTTCACTTTTGTCTCTGGGGTTGAGGAAACAAACATGTTCCATCACAAATGACAGCACCACGCCAGTTTGGTTTTGCTCTATGGGACATGAGCACATGGCTTTGATCACCACTCCCATGTACAAATGCAAGTCACCAGAAAACACTTAATATTTATGAGTTGGTAATGATAAGGGACATTGCATAAAGTACTATTCACTAGACACACACCTCAAAAGTTATTATACCAAGACCTTTATTAAGCAAATCTTGAAAGATAGAAGTCCCTCTGTAGTCTAGTATAGTTGACCATAGAGTTGTAAGACAAACAAACCAAAAAAAGGCAAACTTACTATTTCCACACTGGAACCTACTACTAAAGTTTCAGATGGTATTCTTCACATGGATCTGACCATTGAAATGGTCTGTAAATTAAGACTTTCTGGAGTGGTCCTTGAACTGAAGCTCTGGCATTAGTTCTACCTTGACAAAGGGTGTGACCCCTCTAAATCGTTTCAATTGCCAAAATATTTATCTGAGCTACTGGGTTGTCCATTTGATGAACAGACTGTTGAGGTTAGGCATTGTCTGTAGTGACTTCATTTTTAGCCAAATCAACCAGTTGTTTCTCTGAAATGAGTCAATAGACCCATTGTTGCAGCATCACTTGGCCAAAGCAAATGTGGTTGCGAATCTGGACTTCAGGAAGGCCAACCAACCGCTTCCCACATCCTTCTTTCCTCTTCCCTGGCAGACGCTCTCCTTTTTCTTAACAGATAGATTCTATATATTTAATATATTATTTATACCCAGATGAATATTTTGATAGCTACTTAAGACAGTTTCACATCTAAAAGATTGACACCTCAATAGAAAAAAAATTAATCATTCTCTGGAAACTTTATAAGATTTTTAAAAATATACAATGTGTGTTTGCCTTTCCTAAATAAACTGAAAGGGTTGTCTCAGTAGTTTTTACATACATTTTGGATAACTGGATAATGGATATTTTAATGCACTTTGTACACTAACAGGTTTTAATAAAAGGGTCTAAAAACTCAGCTTCTGAGTTTTTAAAATTATGGTCTCCAGGTACCAATAAATGCTATAGTTTGCCTTATGATGTTAACATAAAACATTTACTAAAAGGACATTATTTCCATAAATATAATGTTTTTCAATATAAAGAAGTTACTGCTCCAATTTTCACTGCAAGCCATTTAGGGTATGTTTTGGCTATTTTTATAAGGACCAGAGAGATGATGTTGTAATTTTGTTGTGGAAGTTCACTCTTGGCTAACTTCAAAACATTGTAGATAGTAGCAGTTACTGTTTCCAGGTTGTCATATTTACAGGAAAATGTGTATACGGTGAAAGGCCACATTGTTTACTTTAATTACTGTAATGATGTAGGAAAGATTTCCATGTGGAATTTTTGAAAGTCTAAAAAATATATGCTGTAAACATTTGCTGCAGTATGATTTTACATTGTCTTTAAATGGATTGGGGTCATGGTATTTTCTTTTTCAAGGCCCTCACTTCACAGGAAGCATTGCAATACAGGGGTGAAAGAGACGGCAGTGCCGATTAAAGTAATCCAACAAAATTGGAGTGGAGCCAACCAAGGCTATCAGGGCCAGAGTTATGGGTGTACGGACAATGCAGTTGCCCAGAGCCCCGGGTTCAGAAGGTCCCTGAGCTTGGTTTCATGCTCTACTGTCACTGTTGAAATTCTTGATCACTTTTGAACAAGGGGCCTGCAGTTTCTCTTTGCACTGGGCCTTGCAAATTATGTATCGATACTCATAATGGAACTCGGAAACATGGTACCTCTCTTCCTGGTGGATACAAATAAGGAAATTTGGATCCAAAGTTGAACATTGCTGGCTATATCAGTCAAGTAGGAATCTAAGTGATGGATTAAGATGAGGGTAGGCCTGAGTGAAGATTTCCTTTCCAGCTTTAAAAGAAAGTGACTTCAAAACCGACTGCCAATATTGATGATGGTTTCTGCTGGAGAAGAGGAAACTGCCTGAATACAGACAGGCTTTTTATTATGGTACTGACGTATTGACCTTAAACTTCTCGAAGAACTGAAGTGGCACCCTCCAGTAAATATGGACTTCCATATTTAAATATGGACTTCCATCTCAGCTCCTGGCACTTGTGCAAATGCCTACAGATACACAGGCGTGCATGCTCACATCCCTGTGCATTTGGTGTTGGGAAAGTGACCATCTGGTCTACCTGAATAAAATGTTACAAGACATCCAAAGACAATGATGGGGGCAGGATGTTTTTCGAAACAGTGCTTCTCAACCAGGGCTCACTTTTGCCCCCAGGAGACATTTGACAATGTCTGGAGTCAATTTTGGTTGTCACAACTGGGGAAGGGCTGCTACCAGCAGCTAGTGGGTGGAGGCCAGGGATGTTGTTGAACATCCTGCTGTACACAGTGCAGCCCCACAGCAAAGACTTACGTGGCCCAAAAGATCAATTATGCCTCAGTTTAAAAACTCTTGGTCATTGGGTATTTTTAGATGCAAAACTCTCATAAATACCTCTCACTTTTTCTGTATGTGATTCAATGTGTGATACACCAAAGGGGGGGCACCAATTCAAAACCTTCACTGCAGTTGTTCCTTCATGTTAAAAAATAGTTACAGAAATCTGAAAAGCAATCTAGACCTGTATACATGGCAATTACTGGTAAATCTTATGGTCTTGATGAGCTGAGTCTGGAAATGAAAAGGTTTTTCTTATGCCGCTCCTTGCACCTGGACAAATTCAATCTCTGGTACCTGAGTCACTGCCCAGCCCTCAGCTGAGACTGTTCTCTTGATTGTTGTTGCTTTCTGGTTCAAAATAAAATCATCTTTGTGGCACCAAGGCTCTCTGTCTCTGCCTGTCTCTGTTGCCTTTTCATCATTTAGCATTTTTGCAGTTACGATTTTGACAAAAGTTTATTCAACTAATGCTGTTTCTTTGTACTATTTTGTGACATACAATCTATTTCCTTTTATACCTGAAACTGTCTTGCACCCACCATTCGCTTCTATATTCCAAATACAGTTATTCTACAAAACTGAAACTATCCCCCCAGGGGAGCAGTGATGATATGAGCACAGGAGCAAAGACCTTTGCAGCATGGTCTGTGACAATCCCAGCAGCTGACCCCAAACCCACCACATGGTCCAGAGCACCTGGCTTCTCTTGGAGACGAAGCCCTTTGGGTCTAGGTCAGTGCTGTGCAAAGTGAGGCCCATGATTCTTTGGCTCCAGCACCACCTGCCAGTCCCTGCCTCACCCCAGAGTTGCTGACCTGAATGTCTGGGGCTGAGACTTGGCCGAGTTCTAACAAGTTCTCCAGAGGACTCTGAAGCTGGAGAGGACTCCACAAGCTTTTTGTGAAGCTCTAGAGGACTTCACAAGTTTTTTGTGATGCACTGCTGTTGGGAACCTTTCTCCAGTCTCACAGTCCACATCAAAAGGCACTTACAGGGAACCAGCAGTTAGCGTAATGGCTATGTCGCTGGACTCCCACGTAGTCAACCGCGGTTCACGTCCTGGACCCGGTGGCTTAAAACTCACGCCGGGCGCGTGTGCGTGCGTGCCCAAGATCCGAGAGGAGAATGGAGGAGGAGGGATTGCGGTGCGACCATCCCCCTGGGGTGTGATTTCTCGCTGTCTGGCGGGCGCACGCGCCCTATAGCAAAAAAACCTCTCAAAAAAAAAAAAAAAAAGGCACTTACAGTCCGCAATGCATTTTCAAGGCGACGTGCTTTAGAGGCAGCAAGATGGAATGCAGTAATTCTTAACCCCACTCACTGAGCACTAAAAACAAGCTTTTCTAGGCTTACCCATGATAGTGTACATTGGATGCTGCCACTAGGGGCCGAGGTCACATGGGAGGCCTGAGTTCAGTTCCCAGCCCACCGTAAAAGCCAGGCACAGTGGCAACATCTACAGTCCCTGCTACTTGAGAGGCTGGGGCAGGAGGATCTCAATATAGTGAGACTCTGTCTATGAAAACATTGTTTTAAATCATATTTTCTACAAATGCTGATTCTTGGATCCTATCCTGAAAAAAGTGGGGATGAGAAGGTCAAGGATGTGGCCAAGTGATCTGTATGTTTTTAAGGATTATAGTACTCATGAGCACATGCACATCCAAGAGAGTGAGAGAGAATGAGAAGCACCCTCTACAGGGTCATCATGCCATGATCTCCCTTCCCTTGCTTGCCCTCCAGCTCATCGGTATCTTGGCCAACAGTGAATCCAAACGATGGTTGAGCAGCTTCCAACACTACAGCTTAGTTTGCTACTGACTGAGCAACCAGGCTGGACCTTTATCTTTCTTTATCTTCTTAAGTGATTCTAATGCAGCCAAATTAACAACCAATGCTATAGCCAGAGGGCTTAGCAATTTTTCTATAAAGGACCAGATAGTGAAAAGACTTTGTGGGTCATACAGTCTGTGGCAACTACTCAACTTGGGTCATAGAGGAAAAACAATCACAGAGAATAGTCAGTAAATAAGTGTAGTTGTGTTCCAATTAAACTATTTACAAAAACAGATGTTGGACTGGACTGGGCCTTCAGGCTGCATGCAGTTTATCAACTTCTCCTGTAGTGGACCCAGTACTGGACTGGCAGCCTGAAGTCTCAGGGCATTTTCTAACTGCCGCTCAGTCACTGAAGGCTCAGCCACATTGCCTAACATCTCTGGGCCTTAGTGAGCTCTAAAAGTCCTTTCCAGCATTCAATTACTTCTGTGAACTCACAGGACTCATGAAGAATCAGATATAGAGTGCTTAAGATAGGGACACTCAAGGGGTTCTGGAAGATTCATTCATTCAACGGACCAAGGTAAGGCTGAGTTCTGGTGATAGGTTTTCCTCCTTCATAATATCAACTCCAAAACCCTTCTCAGAAGTGACAGGTGTGTGAAATATATTCCCTGTGATAAGAGTTTTGAAGTATCATTTAATTTGAACTTTTGTAACTGAACAGACACTGCTGTAATTAATCACCTTTCAAAGTCAACTTGAAGGGCATTCATATACTCCACAGGGTGGCCCATATCCCACCCTTTTTTAAAAAATATACAAGTAAAATATGTTGCTTCTGATTATAATAGGAGCACAAAAAGGAAGACAAGGTGAACTTGGAAAATCACTTCCCCTGAGTATCATTCTCATTATGGGGTTCACATTCAAAACTAAAATGAAAATGGAATTGAGACCTTACATAAAACCCTTTTTTGTAGTTGTCTTGTCTTAACACAGGCAATTTATGGATAGAAATTCAGGCCTCTCTTTGTGTCTTTTTCAGTCATGGTCTCCTAAGAGGATTATTAAAGCATGATTAAATAGGAAGCACAGCAATTAATGAGCAAAATATGTCATGGCCAAAAACCAATTACCAATTAAGGAGCAGCACGAAAAATGATTTAATGAACATTGGTTCTTTTGCACAGTCTATTTATTCTCAAAGCTCAATTTTGATTATGGTCATTAAAAGCTGTTCAATTTCACTAACGCATTTCAAATAATGTTTATCTTACTCCTTCACCAATCTTATTCTCCCTCCAACGATTCCCCTCCCTCCTCTTCTCTGTGAAGCATCTCAAAGGGCCATTCAGATCTGCTCTTTCTCATTCTTCACCCATCATTGTATTGCCTCTCACTCTATTGGGAGTTCAGTATCTTTGCTCTTCCAAACAGTGCTGGCATCAAAAACAGCATCTATATCAACCTGTATCTTCATAGATATTTGGCTTCATCTTAACATGTAGCTTTTGAGATGTCTACTCTAGTCAGGCAATGCCATCCACACCATCTCCTCAACCACCATTTTGTGCAAAGTCATTCCAAATTCAAGTCTCCAGGTGTCTTCTCTGTTTAACTTAGCCCTGCACATTGACTTGTTATTTCAGTAATTATTGTTGGGTGCCTAAAAGACACAAGTTCAACATGTCCTAAACTACATTCATGGTTTCTACTCATAACTCATCCTAGCCAACCAGTTGTGAACCAAACTGATGGTTCATGTTTGATAACTCCCTCACCCTTCGTGCCTAACCCATCACCAAGTTCTGTTGACTTTAGCTCTTAAATCTCTCTTCAACTGACCTACTCTTCTCTACCTCTGCAACATTCAAGTATGAGCTCTCACAAATCCCACCTCTACAGCTGGAATAGCCTGCTCAGTGGTCTGCCTGTAATCTACACTGCACTATCTCCTTCCATTCATCCCTTAGAGTAGCCAAGATAATCTCTAAATCAGAT